TTCCCATAGCTGTACAGATGGACTCGTTGCCTTCAGCTAACCTTCCATGGTCCACACATACCCTGACACACTTTGGACCATGAGCAGTGAGGGCCAGATCGCATAGTGGTGGGTGGGGTATGCAGGAGTGGGGGCCAGAATGTCAGGGGAGCCCAGTGATCCACCATTCCCACCTGTGGGGTGTCAGCAGTCGACAAGCCTGATCTTGGTGGGTGGGGGGGGGGCCTCTTGCAAATAATAACAGCTTTTCTGATAAAGATGGAGGCTGTCACACTCAGAGGATAGTGTTCCGGAGGACAGGTGTACAGCAGCGTGGCTCCAAGCTGAGTTAAAGCAGAAAGCCTCCTCTTTAGTATCCATAACTATTCTCCTTGGGTGTGTGTGGTTGGCAGGTACCTCCACAGCAGCACGAGGGAGAAATGAGGGAAGAGTCTCCATCTAGTGAGATCCAGAGGCTGCAGGAGCAGAATGCGGGTCTGCGGAACGCTGTTGCACAGATGAGGCGAGAGATGGAAGCGCTGAGTGGCCATCTTCCTTCCACTCAGCCGGAAGAAGCAAGCCCTGACCCCCAGGCTGGTGGAGATCCGGCCCCTCCGGGTGAGCAGGTGTAGATGTAAGGAGGGGTAGGTGGTGGAGAGCAGGAGCAGGGCGGGCAGGACGGGGACAGAGCCCCAGCCAAGCTTCCCATCCCAGTGTCACACGGACGCCACCCTCTCGTAAGCCACTGCGAAGCACGGCACCTGCTGGTCCCCCAAGAGAGAAACAGTTTTTCTCTGGTGACACAGAGGAGAAAGTGCAGGGCGCATATCTGATGGACCTGGGAAGCCATCAGACTGGGCAGAATGAAGCACTGGTGGCAAGGCTGCAGGCCAGACCTTCCTCAAGAGGAGCGTCCTGCAAGGGAACTGAGCTGGCAGCCCCACCTTTGCCTAGTTCTCAGCAGGCACCATGACTGCTTCTGAGGGTCTGATCCCTGATGTGGGAGTTGTGCCTTCCATGCCCAAAGCCAATGGGAGACAGACAAGTTCTCCCTCCTGGCCCCAGAACCTACCTGGAGGAATAGGGGCTAGGCTGAGAGTTGAGGCAAGAGGGCAGGGGCAGAGGTGGCCTTCAAGCCCTGCAGCCGAGACGATAGGCGAGTGGCGCGAGTGTGCCGGTGAGTGTGTGCTGTACTCCCTGCTGTCTCGGCAGATTATGTTCTGGCGCTTGAAGCAGAAATGCAGAACCTAAAGCGCAAGCTTAGAGCCCTGGAAGAGCAGCAACAAGGTGGTGGAGAGCCAGTGAAGACAGCCTTGCCCCCTGCTGATCCACGCTCTGGTGCCCACGGCTCCGCAGAAGCAGCTGGTGAGAGCCCCTGGCCACCTAAGCCTTATGCTCTGTCCCAGTAACACTAACTGTGTGAGAATAAAGGTGTAATCCCTGAGGCAAATCTTACAAATGCACGCCTAGCTCCAATGTTCATCACCTTCAGACACCCCGTCTCCAGAACCAGGAGTCCCCCGAAGTCACCATGTTAGGTGAGAGTTGTTTCCTCATGTAAGTGGCTGGTGTCTTTGGGCCTATGTTGTGTGTTAGTGGACAGTGCCGGACTTCACAAAGCTCCATGCAGTTTGCAGGACAGCCCCTCCGTGTACATAATCTCTCTTCCCGTTTGGCCACCCTAGAGGCTGTCTGACTCATCCTGTCCCCAGTGCATTGGAGGGCACAGACATCTTTCCTGGGCCTTTGGAATCCTCATCTGCCCTGGCTGTCACAGTGAATGTATCCGTTATTTTTCTGCTGCCGTGACAGGACCCCAAGAACTGGGCCTTACAGCAGAAAGTATTTGCTTTGGCTGCAGTTGCGAAGGGTTAGAGACTATTCAGACGAGGCTGAGGCTGCAGATGGGTGTGGTAGCCGAGAAAGGGCGCCTCCCTCCTGTGACGTGCCTCCTCCAATAAGGCCATGTGTCCTAAACCTCCCTAAAGGGTGCCCTCAAGTGGGGACCAGGTGCTCAAACATCTTAGCCTAGGAGGGACATTATCATCAAATGTCTATGGTGAAATACTCCAGACTGTCCATAAACAGGTGGTGGCGGCCAGTTATGGCCTCTGAGAGACCCTGGAGTTCTGAACAGCGCTCACACTGCCAAGTGCTAGCCATCTGATGTCCCTGGGCCCCTCGGGGCTCTCTGCAGACTTCCATTCACAGGCCCTTCCCAGGAGTGTTCTGTTCTTGGTGTGGAGTGCTGTGGCAGAGGCACAGGAGGACAGAGGACAGGCATCTTTCCTGGAACAGGCTTGCCTTGGGCCTTCTCTTCATTCCTTAGTGAGAAGGATTGGGGGCGTGGGTACAGGGTGCATTCCCCTGGTGGTACCTGAGGGAAGGACGGACAGAAGCTCCTGTGGGTCAGCCCAGGCCCCACCGCTCTCTTCTTCACCTCCCAGAGTCGTCTGTGTGCCCGGTTGTGATAGTGAGCAGAAAGTGTGGATGCCCTCTCTGTCCTGTTACACCTTCCTTTCCCAGGAAGGAACCCAGAAACTGGCTGGCCAGTGTTTCGTGGAGAACTGCCAGATTTGGGGTCAGAAGTGAGACAGGCTTGTCATTTCATTTCCTTGTTTGCAATGATCGGGTCATAGTTTGGAATGAGGGCTGCTCTGACCTTAGAGATATGAGTGACCAGATAAGTCTTTCTTAAACTATTTGTAGAATTCAACTTTGAAATCACCAGGCCCCAGAGTTTTCCTTATGGGAAGATTTGAAACTTGATTTGATTATTCGTAGTTAAGGGATTGTTCATATACATTGTTTTGTTTGTTTGTTGAGGCAGGGCTTCTCTGTGTAGTCCTATTCGACCTGGAACTCACTCTGTAGACCAGGCTGACCTGGGATTAAAGACCTGCGCCACCGCCGCATGGCCATATTTTCTTTCTATATATATTTGTTACATTATACTAAGAAATTATCCATTTCCTCAAGTTTTCAAACTTCTGGGATGGAGTTTCTTATCCTATCCATTTTGTTCATTTTCTTCTTTGAGATTGTGATCCTCCTGCCTCAGCTTTCTGAGTAGCTGGGACCGTGTAACTGCAGTCTCTCCTGATCTTCAGTGTCCAGAGTTTTCAGCATGCGTCACACTGAACATTTCTGTTCTCTTTTATTCTTTTTTCCTGAGACAAGAGTTCTCTGTGTAACAGTCCTATCTGTCCTGGAACTCAGTTTATAGACCAGACTGGCCTTGAACTCACAGAAATCTGCCTACCCCTGCCTCTTGAGTGCTGGGATTAAAGGCCTGTGCCACCATGCCTGACATCTTTTATTCTTTCTTGATGTCCTACTAGAGAGTATGTAGTTATTTATTTCTTCGCTTATTGCCTTTACAAAAGCTGACCATTGGTTTTATTGATATCAGAGGACACGTTATTTCTATTTCCTCAGTATTTAATGTTAATCTTATTCTGTCTTCTAGATTCATGGGTTGAACTTTTATTCCTAGGATATGCACCTAATGCTATAAATGTGCTTTTTCATTTCTTACGCAGTGCTAGAAATGGAACCATGGAACCTAGAGCCTGGCACACGCCGGCCAGCTCTCTGCCTCTGAGCCCAAGCCACAGCCAGTTTGATTTTCAGAGGAGCTTTTTTTTTTCTCACATGTATGGGTGTTTTGCCTTCATGTGTGTATCTGTACCACAATGTGCCTGGTGACTGCAGGAGCCAGGGAAGGGTGTCAGAGACTCTGGAACTGAAGTCACAGATTGTGAACTGCCATGTGGCTGCTGGGAACCAAACCTGGGTCCTCTGAAAGAGCAGCCACTGCTCATAATCCCTGAGCCACACACACACCCCAGCCAGTTTTTTAGTTTTGAAACATTCTCACTAAGTAGCTTAGACTGGCCTTGAACTCACGCTGCAGACTGGGATTTATAGCTGTGAACCACCAGGCCTAGGAGCTGTGAGTTGCCTTAAGAAGACAGATTTACACACATTCCTCAAAGCTGCCTTACCATTCTGCTCAAAGTAGCTTGGAATGTAAGTGTCACTTCTTCTTTGCCCCAGGTTTTGTGTGAGGAACTTTCCCACCCCCTCACATTCCAAATAAATGGTCCTGGATTTATTTGATCCGGTCAGATGTGGTCAGGCTAGATTTGATTTTCTAGCCCTTCGTCTCGCGCTAAGGATGTACTACGTACTCCACGCATCTCTGGTCTTTCTAGGGACCCAGCCCTTTGATTCAGGGATGGGCGTATTTACCTTGAAGTCAGTTAGAAGCTTCAGTAGGCCTCTGTGGGAAAGGAGGCTCAGCTCCCCAGGGAAACTGCTTTTGTTTCTGAGAACTGAGCTGACAGCAGGTGTTCTCATTACAGGAGCGGCTTTGGCAAGCCAGGCATCCATTGCGTTAGCACTCAGAAAACTCGGAGACAGAGGGCACCTCTTGAACCTGCTGGTGACACAGCTCAAAAAGAAGGTGAGACTAGCTCCTAACACTTAGGTTGTGCAAGCATTCCTGCTGAAGAACAGTCCAGATTTGGACACAGGTGCAGCTTCTGAGAGGTGCCAGGAGTGACCTCGTTGACCTTAGGTGTTTTGGGTGTCTTCCCAACTTCTCTTTCCTTCAGAACAAAGGACTGTGCTGTGCAGTCGCTGGTTTATCTCATGGGTGGCTGTGGATTATTCACAGGTAAGCCTGATGTGGTGCTAAGTGCCTCTATTCCCAACACCCATGATGTAGGGGCAGGAGGATCAAGAATTCTAGGTCATCCATGGCTACAGGGATACATGAGACCCTATGTCAAAACAGCAGCAACAATAACAACCACAAATGCACACGCATGTAAACCCACTTATACACACAAACACACACACACACGCACACACACACATTTCAATGCTTATTTCTTATAAGAATTTAATTTAGGGCCGGGCGGTGGCGCATGCCTTTAATCCCAGCACTCGGGAGGCAGAGGCAGGTGGATCTCTGTGAGTTCAAGGCCAGCCTGGTCTATAAGAGCTAGTTCCAGACGGGCACCAAAAACTACAGAGAAACCCTGTCTTGACAAAACAAAACCAAAAAAAAAAAAAAAAGAATTTAATTTAGGGTCTGGAGAGATGAAGTAGCTGTTAAGAGCACTGGCTACTCTTCTAGAGGACCCAGGTTCAATCCCCAGCACTCACATGGCAACTCACAACCGTCTGTAACTCCTGTTCCAGAGAATCTGACACCTTCACACCAGTGCACTGTTAAGTAAAAATAATAAGAAAAGGGCAGCTTCATTGGCACAAGAAATCCAATTAGATCAAATCAAACCAGATCAAAATGCCCATCGTTTTATTAAGTAAGACGCTCTTGGGTGGCCGAGCACATGGTGGGGAGACAGAAAAGCAGGGAGCCCATGCAGACCTGAAAACCATGTATTTCTCCTTTGGCAGTCCACTTAAATACCCTGTGGGAGTGGTCAGGACCTGGCATGCTGGGATTTGAAGTCCAACCCAATGCCACTCCCAGGCCAGGTTGGCTGGGATGGATGCCAGGGGCTAGGACTATGCTCCCAACTTAACAGCACATAAAATGAAGTTAATTAAATTATTAAAAAATAATTTAATTTAATTTAATTTAAAGCATTTAAATTTCACTTTGATAACTAGAGGCAGTTGGAATAAGCTGGGCAAAATATTTACCTCCAGTCAAGTGTGATGACCTCTAATCCCAGCTCTCAAGAGGCAGAGGCAGGGGGATCTCTGTGAGTTTGAGGCCAGCCTGATCTACACAGTGAGTTCAGGACAGGCAGGGCTGCAGAGTGAGATGCTGTCTAAATAAAACAGGTTTACCTTCAAGTGTTTTTCATTTTTATTTAACAGTGTCTGTTTACCTAATGGTCACCTCTTCTGTGTGTATGTGACTGTCCAAATAAGATAGTCACATGGAGTCAACTGTAGGCATCCCTGGAATAGAAGCATTATTTTAATTCTCTTCACCTAGCCTGGGAAGCCAGAATACAAAGAAGTGTGTTTCCCATCTGCCTGGATCTCCTCCTACCTGGCCCAGGCCACATTAGGGCCTTGTGGGTGCTGGTGTTGTGGTGCTAAAGGTTCAGGATGGGTTCTCAAAGTCATCCTGCTGCTGCTAACGTACCTATGGACAGCAGGCAGCTGCTCCTCCTGAACCCACGTCCACCGCTGTCATATCCGTGGACAGCAGCTGCTCTTACTGTACCCACGTCCACCTCTGTCGTACCCGTGGACGGCAGCTGCTCCTCCTGTACCCACGTCCACCTCTGTCGTACCCGTGGACGGCAGCTGCTCCTCCTGTACCCACGTCCACCTCTGTCGTACCCGTGGACGGCAGCTGCTCCTCCTGCACCCCCCCTTCCACCACAGCCACTTCTCTCACTGTCTTTTATTTGTTTATTTTTTTAAAAGATAGGTTCTCTTGTAACCCAAACTGGCCTCACATTTACTGAGGATGACCTGGAATTTCTGGTCTGTCTGCCTCTACTTCCCAAGTACCAGAACTACAGACATGCACCGCTACATCCTGCTTATGTGACGTTGGCAATTGAGCCCAGGGCTTCATGCATGCTAGGCAAGCACTCTGTCCACTGCACTGCACTAGCCCATCCCTGCCTTTCGCAGCCTCCCCCTGTGCTCACCTCCCTCTTACCTCCTTCTTGGTCTTTTGAAATGGTCTCACCACAGAACCCTGGCTGTCCTGAAACTCACTCTGTAGGCCAGGCTGGGCTTGAACTCTTAGGAGTCTGCCTGCCTCTGCCTTCCAAGTGTTGGGATTAAAGGTGTGCACCAACTCACCTGGCCTGTCATCTGCCCTCGTGGTGGGAACGAGGGCTCGGGAGAGGATGGTAACCCGCTTTCACTCACACACTTGCCAGTGAGCTTTGGTGTCTAGCATCGACTGCACAGAAGTGCAACACACAGGGCAGGTTTGCAGATCATCATGTCTAGCCAGAGCAGAAACCGGCCACTGACCCTGCTCCACCCCTGCACCTTCCTAGGACAGGCCCCCACCCCTTCCTAACATTGCCTTCTGAACTGATTGCCTAGCTGTGGCAGAAACCCCTGGAGTCGGTCACTGTCCTGCACGAGCTCCCCAGTGAAGTGGACCAGGTGCACCTGGAGGTTTTGGAGCTGCAGAAGCAGGTGGCTGAGCTACAGAAGCATCTCAAGACGCCCCAGCCCCAAGGAGAGCCTTCTCTCATGGAGCAGCTACAGAGAGAGGTGGGTGCTGGACATGGATGAGTGTACCCATTTCCTTCCATCCTGGCTGTCACATGCTTGCTGGCCTGTGAGGCCAGAGGGTGGTGTTGAGAGGTGACTAAGCAGACACCTCCTCTTTCCATCCGCTGTTTTTCTCTGTGAGCCTACTCACACCTCTGCTCACTGTTCATTTCTTTGGCTTGACATACTACTGCTGGAACGGAGCCCATGCCCTCTTTGGCTCCCTGCAGAGAATGCATTTCTCTCCATAAACAGGTTTAGGCTGTGGCTAAGAAGGCACTGTGCACAGACCTGGTCTGCCTGCCTGTGAGAGGAGGGGCCACGGGGCACTCGGCATCTGGTTAGTACTGTGACCAGCACGGAGACCCCCTGGAATCCTGTGACAGAGTCCTCCCTTCCCATTTAAGGCCCCAGTGGAACCATGGGTAGGAAGGGTGACTGGGGCAATGTGTACTGACTTACGGTGACCTTCTGCCCCTGCCCTGACCTGCTGTAATCTGCTGTGAATGACCTGTGATATGACTCCCTGCCAGTTGACCTGCAGTGACAATGATGACTTAAGGTCACCTTTGACTACCTGTGCTGACCTATAATGGCCCATGGCCACTTGTGGTTGCCAGAGGTCTTAAGGCATTCAGCTGAGAAGTTGAAGACAGTATATGCCCTCATGGCCACATTACAAGAACAGGAACAGAGCCGATAGCCGCTGGCATAGGCTGTATCTAAGAACAAACAGAAGAAGAAACAGCAGGGTTGGGAGCTGAGGGAGCCTGAGGCTCCAGCAAAAGACTCAACTGGACAACACTGAAGTACTGAGCAGTGCTAGTCCCTAAGGGCTTCTGCTCCTAGGCCTCCCAAGACTTCTCCACATCCATCAGTCCAGAGAAAACAGGTAGGCCAGCACTAAATGATATACACTAACTTTAAATTGTGGTAGACTGGGTTAAAGCAGCAGGCCCAGATCTCGGCAGTCACACAGGTCAAGCACAGTTTCCGGGTATCTCCATTCCTGTGGGTCTTAACACCTATGGTTTGGGCACACTGTGAGGTCACAAAGCTCAGGAAGCAAGGAAGCTTGGGCCCGCCTGCTGGACAAGGCCCCAATGCTGGCAACCAATGCCCAGCAGCCTGTCCCCGACCTGGACCAGGGAAGCTGGAAGCTGATCAACGATGTCCTCAGGGATCCTTGCTGATGTGTAGAGACATGGAGGAGACATACGCGTGCCCGGTCCCCGTGTCCCGAGGGCCTTCAGCCACCAGCTCCCGTGTCCCAAGGTTGATCCAGAATCTCTTGCTCCAGTCCCGGGATCAGGGCTCCTTGAACAATGCCAGTTCCAGATAGATATATTAGGGCGATAGAGACGTTAGCTGTGAAGGG